CTGAATTCTGCCTAGTAGTGAAAGGGCGCTGCCCATCCCTGTGTGGTCGTTACAATGCCTTCTTAAAGTGTGCTGGGGTTCCCTCATCCACGTAGGCACAGGCTTTTATGGCTGCTATGGGTGCTATTCTGCTCTCCTCCAACAGGAAGAGGGCAGGCAAGCGGGTGTTTCAGCCAGGAGAGAGCCCTTTGTCACCGACAGGGACCATGGGGGTCCAGGGAGTTTGTGTCACCAGGCCATGTCCTGCGGTCAGAGGGCCTGCAGCCTCAGCCTGGGTAGCTCTGCCATATGCAGCCCAGCCCCCTCCTACATTTTAGCCCATCTAGCTTATACCAGGCTGCAGAGTGGCAGACTGGAGCCACTCCTGGGGCAGACAAATGGAATGGACTGGTGAATGCCAATCATAGCATCTAAGGTAACAGAATAGCTGGTCAGTAGTGTTCACCCGCAAGCCAGGAGCAGACACTCCCGGGCCTGGGCAGTGGAACGCTGGTGTCCTCTGAGAGCCAGGCTTTTACTCACAGGAGAAGGGCCAGTAGCAGCACCAGGCCTGCCCTGCTGCCTGCAGTCCTTGGCCAGGGTCAGGTTCATGCTCATCCCACAGCCCCCCAAACCTTCTCCTCTAAACAGTCAGTCTGGTTGTCCTACATTTGGGAAAGTAGTCAACCTTTTAAGGTACAGGTTAGAGACTTGGAGGAAAGGAGGCTGGGTTGGTGCCCTAGGACTGTCTACCTCTAGCGAGGCTTGTGGCAGGTGTAGGGATGTGTATTCACTTTCTGTGAGGTTTCCACCAGACACCCACAGTTAGTCTATTGTTTTCTTCAGAGCCCACCCCCTGCATCTGTGCTTTGCATCACAGCTGAGCAGCCCATTCTTATCCATTGCATTTGCATCTGGGACCTGTATCCTTCTTGCCTTGGATGTCTGCAACTCATCGGGATGGGGGAGGTGCTGATAAATAGTGCTCCAGCAGTGTGTGAAGGAAAGTGTACCTTGTCCTGCGGAACTCACAGAGGCAGAAGATGCTGACAAAGCACCATGGCGTGCCTGCCCTGAGCCCCCAGGCTGGGTGGAACTTCACCCAAGTGAGTCCTGTCCAGCTCAAGATCTCAAGGACTTGACACAGATCATCCAGATAGGGGCTGAGCACAATGGTTAGAAGAGGACCAAATTGGAGACTCAAGATGGCAAAAGAGGGTAAGGACATGTTTAAACAGATGGAGAAAGATTAACCGATATGAACCAGAGAGGACACATTCCAGGAAACAGGAGAGGATAGAACAGCAGAGGGGTACCTGTGTCTGTCAGTCGACAAACACAGCAAAACAGCAAAAACAGTGGTGTGGTGATGCAGTGACTGATACTCCAGCAGCATTCAGCAAATGGTGATCCAAACTGCTCCAGCAGCAGGAAACCCACCAGCAACCAGGTGGGAAGGGACTGTCACTGGGATCTCAGGAGTTGAACCCAGACAAAGAACTGCTCATCCTGCTGGTCTGTTTGGTTTGACAAGGAGCAGAGACAGAACGGCAGATTCCAGATGGGTGGTACAGGAACAGGGTGGATTTCACGGCCTAGTCTACTCAATAGAGCTGAATTGGGCACCATTTTGTTTAAGGAGCAAAAGGCAAGGGAAGGGACTGAGCATATGCTGAGCTGGGAGTGAACTCATTTCTGACTCAGCGAACTGCAGCAGTGTGGCATCCTACAGGTTCCACCCAAGACAGGTCTAGGTAGCCCACAGACCTGACAACCAGCAGATCAAGAACTCCAGCAGTGGCACATCAGGCACCATTTTGTACAGTGTGGCAAAAGTTTTAAGACTGTAGGGACAACAGTGAGCTGCACATGTGCTGAGCTCAGGGAGTTCGCACTGAGTTCTCACTGTTTCTTTTAGAGTTAGGGTTAGGGTTAGCTCAGTGCACTGCACTGGTCCCACAGGAGAATAATACCAACTATGGGTCAAATAGGTCCATGGGGCCCTCAGACCTAACAGCCAACAAGTTCCTGCAAAATTACCACCACCAACAACAACCTAGCTATATATACCACCACCAACAACCTAGGTATATAGGACACCTGGTATCTCCCTAATTCTGGGACCTACTCCAACAGGAAGTGGGAGAAAGGTTGTATAGACAACAGTGCAGCCTTAGCAGTGTCATAAGAGGCAGAGACTGGTGAGCGAGGAGCTGGGGCTACAGAGACCATGGTGGAAATCTAACAAAAACCCAGACCTGGAACTCGCTGGAGAGAGTAGCACAACTGGCTGCAAACAAAGAGCAGTGTACCAACTGCAATAAGTAAAATCGGACTGTAGATCTGTGGGTAACACAGCTTTGAAACCTCCCCCAAGGAGAAGAATCTGATAACCAGAAGTACAATGACCAAGAGCAAAAAAAGAGACAGAGGCACAATGAATATTACTGAAGACCGACCCCCCTGCAGAGGAGCAAAAGCCTTTGCCAACCTCAGAGTTCCCTGAGGAAGACATCGAGAAAATGGGGGATACAGAATTCAAAACACTTGTTGTATAACTTCTTATCAACAACAAGAAGCACATAAAACAGGCATTCAAGGAATTTAAGGAATATGTCACAATGGAAATGAATCAAATGAAAGCTGATGTATTAGAAATGAAAACAGTGGAGCAGATGAAAAGTACAGTGGAGAATCTCCAAAACAGAATGAAGGAGCCAGAGGAAGAATCTCAAAATTCGAAGCTATTTCCTGTCACCAGGGGGGGAACAAACAAAAAGCTGAAACCAGAGCTGGATCAGGCAATAAAAGAGTGTTCAAGAGTTGAAAGGCACTATTAAAAGGCCAAATGTTAGTGTTATGGAAGTCCCAGAAGGTGCAGAAAGAGAAGCTGGGTTTACAAATGTCTTTAATGAAATAATAAGAAAAATTTCCCTGATCTAGAGAAAGAATTGGGAAACAACATCCAAGAGGGGCAAGGAACTCCAAACAGGGTTGACCAAAAGCGATCTTCTCCACGACACATGATAATCAAGCTGCCTTCAGTCGAACATAAGGAAAAGATCTTTCAATGTGCATGTGAAAAAAAAATCAATTGACATGTGAAGGTATGCGAAATCCATTAACATGAGACCTCTCATAGGAAACTATAGGCCAGACAAATGTGAACAACATCCCAGTAAAAATTGCAAAAGAAGACTAAATCAATTGACAACCCATTGCTAAAATGACAGGACCAAATTACTGCCCATACATATGAACCCTGAGTGTAAATGGCTTAAGCTCAATTAAATGTCATAGATTAGTAGACTGCATTTAAAAACAAAACCCATCTGTCTCCCACAGGAGACAAACTTCACCAATAAAATTCAGCAGAAACTGTATCTCATGGATTTTGATTTTTTGTTATTGTTTTTAGTTTCATCTTTTCAAAACATTTCTGATTAAATTCTTCAGTGACTCATAGATCATACAGTAGCATCATTTTCTTCAAGAGGGTTCTTGATTTTCCTTTTCATTACTTCAGCAACATATTAGTCATTCAGTAGCATGTTATTTAACTTCATGGTGTTGTTAATTTCTTTTTTCTCCCTGATGTTGATTTTGTTTTGTGGCTTTTCATTTACGGGGATGTATAGTAGCTGTGTAATGGAGACTGTCATATCTAGTAACATGTCATTTAACTTCATGGCATTGTAAATTTCTGGTTTTCTTCCTATTGTTGAATTTGTATTGTGGCTTTTCATTTAAGGGGATGTACAGTAACTGTGAAATGGAGACTAACATATCCAGATGTGAGGATACAATGCAGTATGCATCTCTACTTTCAGACTAAAAATGGAGTCCCAATCAAACTGTTTACTATATGACAGTAGGATGCTGGACTCTCTGCCATTGTCCATGCCCACCATGATGGACATATGACTGTGTATCAAGAATTATACTTTAGTAATGATATGGGGGAACTCAGGTCGGGGGGAACTGGGGAAGAAATAAGGGAAATGCCAGGGGCCTATGGAACTGTATTATAAAATGATAATAACAATAGATAAAAGATTTAAAAAAAAAAACAAAGAGCACCAAATCAAGGGGTCATGACATTTTTTTAAAAAGATTGATTTGTTTTTATTGAAAAGGCAGATCAGTTATAGAGAGAAGGATAGACAGAAAATCTTCTGTCCACTGATTTATTCCCCCAAATGGCTACAATGGCTGAAGGTAAGCTAGTCCAAAGCCAGGAGCTTCTTTCAGGTCTCCTACACATGTGCAGGGTCCGAAGGCTTTGGGCCATCCTCCTATGCTTTCACAGTCCACAAATAGGGAGCTGGATGGGAAGTAGAGCAGCTGGGACACAAACCAGTACCCATATGGTATTCCGGTGCTTGCAAGGTGAGGATTTAGTCATTGAGCCATCATACCAGGCCAAGAGGTCATGGCATTCTTAATCCCCTTTAGGACTTCAGGGCTTGCAGAGTGGATGAAGGTTTCTGCTACCTCTACCCTGGGGTTGGGGTGGGAGGGGAATGCCAGGCACTCCTTGAAGCTACATGGCCAGTATGTGGCAGAGCAGGGTAAACAGGACATACCGTAGACCAGGGACACCAGTGTACACTGCAATTATTAGAAGTAGAGTAGCTTTTTTAGACCTAGGGGAGCCCACACGTTGTGGTCACCTTTCTCCTGTCATGGGGCAGAGCCACCTGCAGAAGAAGGTGGGAGGGCCCCTGTTTGTCTGGTGAGCTTTGAGGGACATGAACTCGTCTGGGGAAGAGCCACTTGCACCCTAGCCAGAAGAAGCCACATGTGCCAGGGATTCTTATAGAGAAGTCTCAAGGTCCCGGTAACCCGTGGCTCCCGCCCTCTGCATGGCTGACCCACTGTGAAGCAGCCCCACCCCCACACAGTCTGATGGGGTTGAAAAGACATGGGACTCGGGCACTTTTCCAGAAGCTACCAGCAGATTCTTCTTTTCCTCCACGTAGAGCGATGTCACTCCTTTCTTCTTTTTGTTCTCCCAACAGGACAAGGCATTTCAAAGAAAGCATCCAGTTCATTCACGAATGCCGGCTCAAAGGAGAGGGCTGTCTCGTGCACTGGTACGTAGTGTGTCTCCTGCTCAGAACCTTGAGAGCCTGTCCTGGCTGGCTTGATTTCTCATTTGTAATTTCACTTCCTAGCACGTTTTTTTTTTTCTCAAATCTGAATTCCAAGTGCACGCTCTAGCCGTCCCCTGCTCTGTGCGTCCTTGTTTTTGTGCAGTGAAAGAGAACCTCACTACCTTTGCCTTTGTGTGGGTCATGCCAAAATGCTCCTCTCCTCTGGTTTTGGGGATTTTGTGGTGGGAGGTGTTCGTGTTTGTTTAGATGACTGCTCTGCCTGCCTAAGCCCAAATAGAACTTGAGCCTTAGCCAACTCTCCCCTTGCATCCTGCTACAGCCTAAGGTGGACACAGACACACGGAAGGGAAAGCAAAAGGATGCATAACCCAGGGCTGATGCATAGAAAACCCCTGGGCTTTCTACCTGATTAGTTGAGTTCTCCGTAACTACTGGCTGTTATTTTTGTCTCCTTGAGTAGCCACTCTGGTGACCTGGTTCCATTGTCCAGAGAGCCAGTTGGCAAAGGGCAAGCAAGATCTGGCTCCCCTGTGTCTCCGATGAGAGGTGATTTTAATCGACTGAAAGAAGGAGCTCCTGGGAAGTGCCTGAGATGGATGGCTCAGGCGTGCAGAGTGTGGCACAGACCTGGTCGCCCAGGATGGCAGGGAGAGCACCAGCCCAGCAGCTTGCTTTTAGAACTGTGCTCTGCAGTTGTATGCACTTCTTGAGCTAGTATGGCTTTTTTTCCATTTTTTGAAGATTTGTTTATTTATTTGAAAAGGCAGGGTTACAGAGTGAACAAGAGAGGAGGTTGAGGGAAGAACTCCGCCAGTGACTCAGCAGCCTGGGCTGCACCAGGCTGAAGCCAGGAGCCCGGAACTCCAGCCAGGTCTCCCACTTGGGTGGCAGGGAACCAGTATTTAAGCCGTCTTCTGCTGCTTTCCCGAATGTGTTAGCAGGGAGCTGTGCCAGCGGTAGAACAGCTCTGGTGAGGGATGCTGGCATCACAGGCAGTGGCAGGGGCTAACCATGCTGTCACAACACAGGCTCATCTTTTCATGTTTTGGGAGAGTATGAGTTATGGTCAAGCAAGGGGTGGATTCTCGTATTTGTTTGCGTTTCACGTTAAAGATTCCCAGGATGGTGCTGGAACTCCGACCCATTAGGCCTTTTTCCATGGCTCATATGAATGCAGATTCCCCAAGTTTGCAAGAAAAGAGCACGTTGGTTTTTAAAGGAGCCTGAGTATTTCTGTTACATTTCATTCTTTTTAATTTATATATAGAGAGAAAATCTTCCATCCTCTGGTTCACTCCCCAAGTGGCTGCAATAGCCAGAGCTGAATCAATCTGAAACCAGCAGCCAGGAGCTTCTTCCAGGTCTCCCATGTGGGTGCAGGGTCCCAAGGCTTTGGGCCGTCATCTGCTGCTTTCCTAGACCGTAGGCAGAGCACTGCATGGGAAGTGGAGCAACTGGGACATGACCCGGGGCCCATATGAGATCCTGGTGCTTGTAGACAGGATTAGCCAATTAAGCCATCATGCTGAGCCTCTCTGTTGCATCTTTACTGAAAGGTCTGGTCCTAGGTGGGAGAAAATAGGGAGGGAGTAGTAACCTTCTCTGATTGGCTGAACTTCCGAGGGAGAGAGCAGATTGTCTCATAAGGAGACATCACTTGAGTGTGGGTTCTTCTTCTCACATCCTGATTGACATTTGAATACAGGCCAGCCTGATATTCTAGCAATTCGAATTTCATTCATTGGTGTACACATCTGAAGATAAGTCCTGCCAACGGCTACCATACTTCCTCATCTGAGACAACCACTCGAACCTCCCGAGCCTGACAGAGCACAGCCTTCCCTCAACTGCCTTCATTTGCATGTGCTTTTAAAACTGCTGCCTCCCCCAGCCCACCACAGATAACACTTCCGTTGCTAGTGGCAGCGTGCCTGGTCCCCAACAGAATGAGGGTGCCCACGCTGGCACTCTGCTTAGTGAGGTCAAAAAGAACACGAAACTAGCGTGTCTTTTTCTGGATTTCCTGGGCCCTTATTTATAACAGCCAAAAAAAAAAGTCAGACTTTTTTTAAAAAAATTTATTTATTTCTTATTGGAAAGGCAGATTTAGGAGAGAAAGAGATACAGAGAGGATCTGTCCACTGGTTCATTCCCCCAATGGCTGCAAAGGCCAGAGATGAGCCAATCCAAAGCCAGGAGCCAGGAGCATCTTTTGGGTCTCCCAGAGCTTTAGGCCATTTTCAACTGCTTTCCCAGGCCACAAGCAGGTAGATGGATGGGGAGTGGAGCAGCCGGGATATTAACCAGCACTCACATGGGATCTGGTGGTTACAAGTTGAGGATTTAGCCATTGGGCCATTGTGCCAGGCGAAAATTAGACTTTTTTTTTTTTTTAAAGGAGATTTCTTTCTTTGAAAGGCAGAGTTATAAGAAAGAAGTAGAGAGAGATCTTCCATCCCTGGTTTACTCCTGCCAGGTAACCATACTGGCCACAACTGGGCCAGGCCAAAGCCAGGAGTTTCATCCTGGTCTTTCATGATGTGAGCCGTCTTCTTCCTCCTTCTCAAGAGCATTAGCAGGCAGCTGGGGCTGATTTGGGGGAGCCAGGACTTGAACAGTGGTACATATGGTATGCTGGCATCGCAGGCAGAGGCTTATCTTGCTGTGTCACATCACCGGTCCCAAGAAAATCAGACTTTCAAGGACCATGACGCACCCCAAACTAGCACAATTTTAAGTGGATGTGTTGCATGGATCTTGGAAGCCTCAAGCTCCCTTGGTGTGCCTCCGTGATTTCATTTTGTTCAAGGAAACGGATGATGTCTGAGGAGGGGCTTAGCAGCAGTGGAAAATCATACAACTGAGATGTTGAGAAACGCCTCAGGTAGGCCAGGATACCTGCTGGGCACCTGAGCCTCTCAGCGCCAGGAGGCAGGGCGAAGAGGGCAATGAAGGTGTGTTCCAAGGACTGCTTTCCTGCATGCCGGCTTCTGATCAGCATGCCATCCCTAGGCAAGCAGACTCTCCAGCAGCATCCCCCAAGGTCCCCCGCTCCCCATGGGCAGGGCCCCAGGCCCAGACCTGGGCTGAAATGGCCTTTTAACCCCACAGCCTGGCTGGGGTGTCCCGGAGTGTGACACTGGTGATTGCCTATATCATGACCGTCACTGATTTTGGCTGGGAAGATGCCCTGCACATGGTGCGGGCTGGGAGATCCTGTGCCAACCCCAACCTGGGCTTCCAGAAGCAGCTCCAGGAGTTTGAGAAGCACGAAGTACAGCAGGTAAGCCACCATGCAGGGACCCAGACCTGTCCTTGGCTTGCCCGTCCACATCCAGAGTCGGGATGGTAGGGGAGCGGCTGGTTTTGGCAGACCCTCTGGGGACCTCTGGGGCTTCCCATTAGTGACCTGCCCAGAGCCAATTCCATTTCCCCCATTGGCCCATAAGCAGAGGTGCCATGTACATTTGACAGGAGGGGTCTGTCTCCTGCTTCTCACCCCCTTTCCCCGACCCCCTAGTATCGCAAGTGGCTGAAGGAAGAATATGGAGAGAGCCCCTTGCAGGATGCGGAAGAAGCCAAAAGCATTCTGGGTAAATATAAAGAGCAGGGGCACATGGAGCCGCAGCCTGGCACCAGGCGGTGGAGCAGCATCCCGGGCCTGCCTCCCCTGGCCTACAGCAATCACGCTCCGGAAACCTAACAACGCTGAGGGGTGTGGCACCTTCCGGGCAGGCGTGCTGGCTGCACTGCTGCTGCTGCTGCTGCTGCTGCTAGGACCAGCGAGGCCAACGGCTTGGGCTCCTTTCCTGGCCTCCTGACCCAGCTGAGCGCCAGCCCCCTTCGTCTCTCCCTTCCGCTCCCCTGCCCCGATCTTCACCTCTCCTGAGCTCACTACCCTGGGATGCTGCTCAACTAACATGCACTTGGCTTTGAGCATGTGAGAGTGAGTGTGTGTTGCTGTGTGCAGAAGTGTGAGCGTGTGTGTGTGCAATGCGTAAGTGTGCGTTACAGGTGAATGTGTGAGTGTGCATGTGTCAGAGTGCATACATACCTTTGGGTGTAGATGCTCACTGTGAGTCACATATGTGTGTTAGAGCAGGCACACTTGAATGTGCGCTGTGAGGGTGTGCCTGTCACAAGCGTATTTGAATTCTGAGTGTCCATATTCCTTGGAAGTCACCCAATCCCCACGACAAGGATTGGTGTGGCCTCTCTTCCCTCGGATCCCACCTGGAAGGCATTTGGACTTGAACCCTGCCAAGCTGTTCAGCTAGGAACAGCCTGTGCCTGTGAGGACTCAGGGGCGTGAGCCCCACTCAGACCCCAAAGAGCTGCCCGGCAGGCAGTGTGGAGGCACAGACCTCGGCAGGGAGGGCGGTGCTGGGCCCCCGGAAGGTGTGGGCGTGCTCTGAGCATGGCCTTGGCCTCACCGTTAAGGCCACCCTGCCACAGGCTCCCCGTGGCCCCTTCTCATTCTGTCATATCCCTGAGTTCTCATGGACCTGGCTGGATCCCATGTCTGGAAGCGGGAGCAGTCCCCTCCTTTGTCCCACCCAGCTCCACGTGCTCCTAACCTCTTGCTGTCCTCGCTGTGCGGTGGCCTCTGCCCAAGTTTTGCTTGCACCCGCAGACTTGGGAAGAAAGAGCATTTGTTAAGCACTGTCGCAGTTTGCATTTTAAAGCAAGCATTTATTAAGCTCCTGGTGTATGCTGTGGTTTGGGTCTTTAATCTCAGCTACCTCATTAAATGTTTATGGACTGTTGTTGTTGTTGTCGTTGCTAACTGCAATCAGCTCTGAAAGTGTGTGGTCTAAGGCTCCTGGAACTATGTCAAGTGTCTGATTGGGGCCCCTGAAAATAATGCTTTGTAAGGGGTAGAAATTCCACGTTCAGAGAGGCAGGGGGTTTATGCAATTTGCAGCTCAGGCCTGCAGGCATCGTGGAAATGTAGCGCTCACAGTTCAGTTGGTATCCTACCAACTTAACAGCTCTTAAGCACGCAGAGCCACACGAACGAAAAAATACACCCGGTCGCTTCCCAAAAAGTCAATGCAACCCCCAGCCTCCAATTCCCACCACTAAAAGAGCTCCCTGAACTACAAGAGCGATTTTCCTGGGCGTGTAAAGAGTATGTGGAAGGTGAGCTCCGTGGGGGCTGAGGGAAACGCCACCAAGGCAGAGGACCCAGATTCATAAGGAGCCAGGGGACCTGGGACCTGAGGGTCAGCCACCTGCTGCTTCCGCCATCTGCCGAGAGAGACAATTTTTATCTTCTGGTCCTTTAGCAGAAAAGAAATGTGAACATGTAACGGGAAAAGGTGTTTAGATTATTTTCTCAAAGGCTTGAAAGCCTGTGCCCGGTGGTTGTTGACTGAGTATGTCGCTCCAGGCCTTGAAATGCTTCAGTTGTCTTCAATCCGTGCCGGCACTAACACTCTTTCTCCGCAGCCGCCCCGAGAATGCTGAAGTACTGGGCCCTTCTCAGAAGATCCTAACGCAGCTGCGTTTCTGAAACACTGGAAAAAAAAAGGGGGGGCCAGGCTGGGGCTGCCACAAAGAAAAGCCCCTTAGAGTCTGGCTTGTTTTTTTAAGCTGCTCTATGTGAAGTCGCCTGTCATAATACATTGCAAACACGGAATACTCTTTGGCAAGGGAGAACGTGTTTCCCCTTCACCCCACTGCTTAACTTGTCTTGGACACCTGTGAAACAACCTCTGGAGCCCTCATTGTTGAACGGTTTTGGTTGCCATGGAGCCCCGTGACTGCCTTTCACGCACAGCCAGACACCTGCGCCTCGGGTTGCGAACTCTGTCCACGTGTGCTGGGAAAACTCTCTCGCGTGTGTTGTGACATCCATGTTTTTCTGTTCTCTGGGAGGCGGCGTGGTGGGGGAGGTGAGATTTACCAAAAGCTGCACATTTTTATGAATAAAGGTCAGCCTAGCCAAGTTTAACATCACGTGCCATGCATGCATTTTTTTTTTTTCTCGCCAAAGGATGCAGTTCGTTTAGGAGGGTTGAAGCCCACCTTCTGGTTGATTGATTTTAATGGGAGGATAGCTGTACTAGGCAAGGGGAGAGTTGTTGCTCTGTTGCTCCTCCAAGTGTGGCAAGAGAAACCGGGCATGGGAGTTGCTTCACCTGTGCAGTGCTGGGGCTGAATGGTTGGGCAGCAGCCGTGGAATGTTTGCACTCAAGCACAGGAACACGACACCCAGGTAATCGCTGAGCCTGGTCTGTACAGCTGTTCAGACTCTGTGTCAGCTCTGAATATGACCTGACGCAGAAAACCCACCTCAACCTGCCTTGCCTAAGGAAGGGAGACAGAAGGTTTTTGCTGAAAGGACAAGGCTGGCTTGAACACGAGGCAGGTGAACGTGGGAGCTGCCACGCATGGGCCTTCTACTGCAGGTCCGCGAAAGGTCCAAAGTCTCAGCTTCCAATGCCCACATGCCCTGGCTCAATCAGAAAGCTGGGCAGTATCCCCAGGCGAGGTGAGTCCCGCTGGCATCTCGGAGCTGGAAACCAATGCTCTGGACTCAGCAAGTACTCTAGACTGTGACAGAGACCCGGGTAAGGGGTATAACTGCCTGTGAGTGTCTCCCCATCCTGGGCCAGGAGCCCCCGACTGTGTCTCCCAAACCTCTCCCCTCCCCATGCAGACGTGGGGACGCCCAGGTGGCAGCAGCCAGCAGGTGCACCCGCCAGCATAGCACTGAGGCAGTAAGGAGGGGTACTCTGCCTGTCAAGAGCTGTTGACCCCAGCTTTCTCTACAGTCAGGGAGAGAGGATTTCATTCGCTTGCGAAACAGGCATACCTTGTGCCAGAGGTGCTAGCACAGCAGGGACCCGAAGCCACTGTGTCTTATGTTCCTGCACTGGAGGGTAGCATAGATGGGAGGGAAGGCTGGGGAGGGGTGTTGCTGCCAGTTTTGTGCTCAAGGGTCCCAAGCCCCGCCACCCCTCACTGACAGGAGAGGGGAGAGAGGCAGAACTACACCTGCTGAAACCAGGAGCCATTATTTGCCTGATCGCATCCCCACCCCTAGCCCTGCCTTGCTCCCTCTGGGGAGTTTGTTTTAAATTGGAATGGCAGCTAATTGCTGCTTGCTGTCTCTCTCTGGGAGCCCACAGCTGCTCTAAGATGGTATGAAACTGCTTGAGATGCTAGACACACACCAAAGACCTCTTTTCTGACTAAGACCAGCCCAGCAGCCTGTGAGTCACCCTAAAAACAGGCCCTTTGAACCTTCTGTGCTCCCCGCTTCCTGCTCCCGATCCCTGGCTGACCAGACCAGGTGGGCCAGGGCCCAGGGGTAGTGCGCTCGCACTGTTTCCTTGTGGTTTGCTCTGGACACAGATCTGCTCTAGCTTGCAGCTCATAATCATGGCCCAACTGGCTCACCGTACTTAATGTCTCCTTCTTTCACATGACTTCCCCCTTCCCAGCAGGTGCATGGCTCCCAGCTGGAACGTGGGAACAACGCTCCTGGTGCCACAAGGCCAGGGAAGGGACAGTATTCCAGTTTTGGAGGCAAGAGGTATTTAGGGAAGAAGTTGGGGGTGGGGGGGAAGGACATTGAAAACACAGTTGTAGAATCAGCTGAGCCTACAGAGAAGGAAGGAATGTTGGGCAGAAGCCAAACACTCACGGGCCAGCTTAGAGGCAGGAAGAGCTCCGGCTCGGAATCACTGCACGTGACCACAGCAGGCCAGCAGCCTAGGAGATCATGCAGACAAAGCTACCGGCACAGCCCAAGCCTGGTCCGGGGAGCTATTAATACAGGGTGAGGACCCCCTGTCCAAAAAGCTTGAGACCAGAAAGGCTTCCTATTTTGAATTTTTAAAAAATCTTGTAGTATTTGCATATACATAAAGAGCTGTCTTGGGGAGAATGAAGCCCAGGTCTGCATATGCAAACCCACTGGCCTGCAGTGCGTTGTGGCACAGTAGATTACTGCCATTTAAAATACCAGGACCCTGCCCGGGAGTGCCAATAAAGACCCGGCTGAAGGCAGAAAAAGATGAGGACTTGGACCCCTGCTGCCCATGCAGAACACCCCCATGGAGTTCCTGCTCCTGGTGTCAGCCTAGACCTTCCCTGGTGGTTACAGTCATTTAGGAAGTGAACTGCAGGTGGAAGATTCTCTGTCTCTCTTTCTCTTTCTCTCTGACTCTGTCTCTCTCCCTCTCTCTACCTGGCTTTCAAACAAGCAACAAACCTTTCAAAACTAAATACAAAATGAGTTTATGTTTCTCTATACTTTTTCTATCTACACAGATCTTGAAGGTAATTTTAGACAATTTAATACAATCTTAGACATATTTTGGATGAACCAGAATGTTAACAGTCACCCTCTCCCCTAAAGCCAGGTGTAGAATTTGCTACTGGATTTTTAAGCATTTTGGGTTTTCACCTCAGAGGCAAGTAACCGGGAGTTCCAAGCAGTGACTGTGGGGCAATGTGGCTGGGGCCCTGGGGCTAACTGAGCTCCAGCAGGTCTGATTCCCACGCCAGGGTCCTTGTAGGCACCATGGGCACGTGCTCACTGAACATGACTGGGCAGGCGGATGATGGGGTTGCATTCAGGGAGAAGGCTCCCTTGGGTGCCCATGGAGAACAGGCACTCACACTGGGGGCAAGTTGTGATAGCAACAGCCCAAGTGAGAGAAGACAGTGCCCTGGGCGGGGTCCTGGTGATGGAGGTGAAGAGAGCCAGGCAGGCCCAGGGGCCTGGGGGAGACTGCGGAAGGACCAGTGAGGAGTTCCGGGACTGGATGGAGGGGGTGGTCAGGGCTCAGTGACACCTGCAGCTGAGAGGCGGGAGCTTGCTTCCAGTGCTCCCTTGCAACCAGACCTTCCTGTTCCTCCTGGTGGTGTGGAAGACATTCCACTCCAGGGGTCAGATTCAGCACTTGGAACCTTCCAGCTGCTGAGAAAGGGACTGGCTGGGTCTATAACCCCCATGGAGGAACAACCCTGCACTCAGCAAGCATTGCAGATAAGGTACTTAGATTTGTGCACCCTGCATAGGCACACGCGCCTACACACACAAACACACAGGTGAGGATGGAGGCAGGCCTTTGGGAATAAATGTAGAATTCACATCTCCCAAGCCCTACTTTATTGTGAACCGTGAGACATTGTCTCTCCGGGAATTCTCTGTATCCTCTGGACAGGATGCGCGGAACATTGGCAGACACAGACCTTAAGCCCTGTTGCCATGCAATCAGAGGAGTGTTCCCTGAGCTCTTTCCCATCCTGGCTGAGCATGATGGTTGCTGTGTGAAGCCTGGCCCCAGGCAGCCCACTCGTATGCCTCGAGTGACTCCTGGACCCCAACTGATGCTCTTCAGTGCACCTGCCTTGGACTGGAGTGTTTCCAGTTCTCCAAGGCTCTCTGTGCCTCTCCCTGCGTGTGGGCTTCTGCCAGGAGCCTCTACAAACGTCCTGGGAGCTGAGCCTAGAGGAACTCCTGAGCTGTATGGGCTGCATCTGGAAGCCATGCTTGTTCAAGGACCTGGAACCTTAGGATGCTGGAATGGCAGGTGCCTACTGGTGCCCACAGCAGCTGAGGCCAGGGCCCGTGCCAGAGCTGGGCACCTGGTGCTGGTACACACAGCAGCCTCTGTCTTAACAGGGAACACCCCAAGAATCACACCCCTGTAATCCCACATCAGATGGTTCCTCCTGCCTGGCTGAGCTATTAATAATCTTATTAAGAATATGCTTTCAACACACCAGTGCTTATAAATGTCCTTAACAAGAAATCACCAAGCCTGCACAGGGGAACTTCCTCTTCCCTCTCCTCCTGCTGGCCCAGGGGACAGGGAGAAATACAAAGATCAACCAGGCTGCCTTGGCCTTGTTGCTCAGAGGCTTGCCCCCCTTCCATTTGGTGGGACTCACTGATCCCCTGCCCCACTAAGCCAACCACAGGCAGCATATCCTTCACACTGTGCTTTCTCCTTCCTTATCTGGCTAGAGATGCCAGGGCCCCTGGCTGGCAGTTAACGGGGCACCATGGGTGTCATCTCTGGCAGTCTCACAATTAGTATTTTATTTTGCAGCTACAGCTTCCCCAGCTGAAATGAACATCTGACGGAAGGTTCCAAGTGCTGAATCTGAGTCTTTCCATTAGGGGTTAGTGACGGCGGGGGGGGGGGGGGGTTGCAGAACTGCCAGTGCGTGTTTGAACATCTGGGGTTTATTTTGGCTCCAGATTGCTATGCAAAGTGTTGATCATAAAGAGTTGGTCATGGCTAGCTTTCCTGAGGCTGTTTAGTTCAGTTATTAGAGTCTGGTGGCAGAGGAAAGCTATTTTAGCAGGTGCCTCAAAGGACAGGGAATTTAACGTCCTGCATTCTAATAGCATGTGGGGCTACTGCTGCTGTTGACTTCAAGGCAGATCTAATAGAAGAGACTTTTTGAATGTGGCTGGACATGTCTCACATGCAAAGGCCCTGATTAAGAAAACTAGACAGGTGCTCCCATTGTGATCCAATAGTTTATACCGCTG